CCTCTCTTGACCTCGCTGGGTGCCAGGGACCCCGACCCCAGGGGGACGAGCGGGGTGCCGGGCCACCCCCATTGCCACCCCATAGAACTCCACTCGCCCCACGGCCCTCTCGGGGGGGGCGGGGGGGATCACAACCCCCCCGAGGGGGGCAGAGAAACCCAAGGCATCCTCCCTTGCCTACGCTGCCCCACCAAAACCTCTTCGGAAAGTTCCCTTTCCTCTTCCCCGTGTTCCAGCTGCCGCCTGCTCCCCTCTTGCACCCCCAGATCTGGAAAGCGGCTGCGGGTCATTGCTGGTGGAGATGCCCCTGAAGGAGCCCCGGAGCAGGCTGCGAGGAGCCCTCCCCGGTCCCCAGGAGAAGCACACTCGGCCCCACCGAGCTGTGGCATGGCCGGAGGCACCGCGCTCCCGTGTGTCCTCGCCCCAGCAACTCTAACAAGAGGCCACCTCAGCTGCTTTGCCAGGGGAAGTAATTGCTTCTGTGCGGTAATTAATACCAAAACGAGAGCGCCAAAGCCACAGCTCCCTGGAGGTTTTGGGCACGCTCGGGGTTATTCCCATCCTGTTGTAGCCGAAGAGGAGGCTGGGGGCAGAGGCTTGGGCCAGCAGGGGACAGGGACATGAGCCCTGGCCACCTGCCCTGGGATGAGTCCTGCCAGGCCTGACACGGGGAGCCCAGGCCACCCCATCCCAGGATGGCCATGGGCAGGGCACCCTGGATGAGCCCTGGTTGGGAAGGTTCACTGGTCCCAAGGCCAGCAAAACTGGTCTGAAGGCCAGCAAGGGGACCCAGCCCTGATTCATGAAGCAGGACGAGCGTAGCTTTGTCTCAGGGGAAGGTTTGTTCCCTGCCTGGGCACGTCACAGGGCGTGCGAGCCTGGAGCGGCAGCGAGGAGCAGACCATGGCCCCCAGGCACGGGGCCAGACCAGAAATCCTCACGTCCTCCCTGCTGCCAGCTCCCGGAGTGCTGGGAGGCAGGCAGAGTGCAGGCAGGCAGGGCAGCGCCTCTGGGCACATCGAGGGAGGCTTTCCCTTCCAGAGATCTTCAGAGGTGGCTCCTGGCTGCGCTTCTGGATGCTGAATGGGAAAAA